AGTTGATAAAAAAGTTCTCCAATGGATTCGTGCTCTACAACCGGTACATCGTTGTGCTCCAAAAATATTCGAATCTATTTTGATTCATGGACACGTGATGGGTAAATCCTATATGGAAAAATTAACACAACCAAAATTTGTTGCACACACTTCTGTGCAACATAATCGTGTAAGAACAATTATTGATTCGCAATTCCCAGCTGTACAGGAACAAATAAAAGAATTAATTCTTGCTCTAGTTGATATTGAATTTATGAAAGAAAAAATTTTGAAAGACGATATTCAACGTAAATCTACTATAGTATCAAGAGAAGAAAATGCGTTGAAACATTTTTTGAGTGAACAAAATATCCAAATAATTAGAGAGAAAACAATAGAAATAGCTCGTGATAGTATTAAATTACATCAACATCAAACTGGAATTGGTTATGAAGTGGATGCAGATGTACGAACAAATCAACATGTATTCAGTATTTTGGGTCCACATACGGGACATTACTATGGCGATGTTATTATTGTATTTAAACCAGAAATTATGTTACATCCCGATACGAATTTTACTATTCAAGCGGCCACATTCTTTCCAGGAGGTTATGCTTATAAATGTCGTCCATGGCTAACAAATCCTGGTTCGACACCACTTCGTATTGAACATTTTCATTCATCAAAAATACATTCTACTCTAGATAATTATGAATATGTGACAGCACTCGAACTAATGGGTCTTGCTGGCCGTGATAGGAAAACAATGAATGTTGGTTTACAGGATATTATAAATTATTTTTTAGAAGTTGATTCACATCAAACTGTCGAGGTACATTTACCGCAATTAATTCCATTATCGTATATTGATAAAATCTATGTTCCAAAAAATGTATTTGAATCAATGAATCAAAAAACACAAGAATCAAAAACAAAAATATTTCGAAATCGATTCATTGTCACTGATCATGAAGTTGATATGAATGTAAATTTAGGTACTCTACAAGGTAAACCACCTGATCCATCACGAAGCGAGTATACAAGTTATGTTCTAAAACAATTATTAGATAAAGTTCAAGAACGTTCAGATATTCTATTAAAAACTCCAAATTTTCATCAGGGTACTTATATTACTGTAGCGGCAAAACAATTCATAACAATACCACATACAATTACTCAAACACACCAACATACGGTTGCTGTAACAAATAGACAATTATCTAATAATACTGTCTATCTCTATTTTAAGGTGAAAAATGGTGATTTTATGTTAATACTTACAAATGAACGTATGGATCCTAGTCAAGTACAAAAAAATTTAATCTTTTTAACATGTTATATATCTCCAATGCCATCAACAACAAATCTAACATCACCCAACGATTATCATGAAACAGAGTCTTATTTAAATAATTTACCTCCTACTACACATGCCGGTGTATTGCAACAAAAAAATCATAAAGCCTCTTCGAATCATTTTCATAAGGGTTGTAACACAGATGATTATGTTCAATATTGTTTAAGAATTCGATATCAAACGGGTCAAGTCTCATTAATTCATGTTGGTGTTAATAGTTTGTATAATCATTCTACCTTGGAATATAAATTCAGTCCACAAGAACTGGATATAACAAAATTAGAATATATTCAGATTCAAACATTTACACAAACAATACCAATAGAAAATTTTTTTATTAACTTTGAACCTATATTAGAATTACATGCAGTTATAGATAAACAGTTTAGAACACCAATTAAAATAAACCAAGAAGAAGACGACGATAACGATATTCCATCTAATCCACCAACCGGAAATAAAAGGCAACACAAGCATCAACAACAACAATATTCCAATACAACGATAAGTGCGATAGCAAAATCTGTTATCAAAACACCGAGTAATGTGCTGCCAGTAGATGGTGTCATGAGAATGACAAAAAATAAACCTAGTATTATCCAACGTTTTTGGAATCGTTTATTTGATCCTAAAACCACTACTCTACCATTACTTCCTGTTCTTCCAACTCCAATAGCTCCAGTACAACAAGTTCCACAAGAACAAAATCAATATGTACAGCAACAACAGTTACCTGCTACACAAATACAACAACAAAATCCTGCTCAATCAACGCAACACATTCCACAGCCACTGCCACAACCTGTCATGGTCGTGCAACAACCAATTCGTGAAAACCCACCTTGTAAATATTCAAATAATTGTAGATTTCAATATACACATCCAAAGGCAGACGAACATTGTCAACAGTATTCACATCCATGTCGATATTCAGAACTATGTCGTCAACGAAATAATTTACAACACTGTACACATTCTATTCATTATGAACATAAGGTACCCACATGTCCACAGGATCAACAATGTCAACAAAAACATAATTCATTACATCGTTATGAACATCGTCATACAGATTTTTCTGATTTATTATTTCCATGTAAAGATGGAACACAATGTCAACAAAAAAATTCTGTAGAACATTCGATAAAATATTCACATGGTGAAAATATTCAACTATCAACACGTAATGTATCACACTCTAATTCATTCAAATCACAAGAAGATTTTTGATACTGTTTTTTTTAGGACGCGCATAGCAAAAGGCTACTTAAACGACTGGATTTCAATTTAAATGGTATCAACAATAACGAAGTCTATTCATTTTTACAGTTTTTTGTACAAAAGCTTTTTTACCTTTTACCTTAATACAAGAATTCATATTATCGTTTGCCTTCTTGCTTAATCAACACTGAATGGTTCAAAATCAATAGATCATGGATCATCCATTTCACATTTGCAAAGAATACAGCAAAAGAAAGATGCAGATCTTGATTCGTTTAAAATTCGAAACAATGATGAATTGCAAAACAAATTTTCTTGCAGACGCTAACCGTAAATATAATACTATGCTTAACTTAACAAACGATTCGCGAAAGCTAATGATCTGAAATTAACCTGTCCATTTTATTCGATAGAGCACTCAAAGTGACCCATAAGTTCATGTTTGTAGGTTCTGAAACTTTTTTCTGACTGAGATTCATATAACTTCATATAACCGAAAAACTGCATAAAAAAAGTCAAAAAATCAACATTTATCCTTCCTTACTTTATTATGTTTTTGTTCTGTTCCACATTTTAAAATTCTGAATCATATATGAAACGGTAGAGCAAAGGAAACTGAACAAAATGTGATGCTTTTTCAGCTGTCAAACCGTGAGGTATTATGCAAAAAAAAGGAAATCACTGCGTTTTTTAATATTTAAAAACTTAATGTTTTGTAGTACAACGCTGCTCAAGCAACAAAATTATAATTCACAGCAGTAACTTTAACTAGTTTGTAGCGCAAATAATTTTCTACAAGAAGGACTATTTTGAATTGAATTGAAATAAGGATGGGGTATTCCATTGAAGAATGAGCTGCAATGAGTACCACTCCAATTAGTATATATCATCAAAGGACGGAGGGGGATAAGGTCATTTTGCATCCCCCAATATTTCTGAAAAAGAATTATATATTCGGAATCAGCATGAAATTCTGAATAAAATCACGTATTTGATTCATTCGAGAATTGACTTTCGATTTTTTCGAAAACTTTTTGCCCATATGACCCCCTTGGAATATAAAAAAAAAAATTTTTGCCAGAATTTTTTGAAACACACATTGTCTGATGCAGAATTTAATGCTGATTACAAATATAAGGTCAAACATCTGGAAAAAAATGTCTTGACCAAGAAAATTGAGTTTCACTTACAGACAATGGTCGTGGCTTACTTGAATTAATGTATCACGATATGTCATACTATCTCCTAATCTCTAATATCACAAAATACTCAGTAAATAAATCACTTATGTTCTTGTTTTCTACTCTCTTTCAGTTCTATCAGTCTCCATTCTTCTTTTATCATACATTTTTCACCTTTGTCCTTGTTTTAATTTTAGTTAGTTTTTGGTGGGAGAAAAAAGAGTTTTCCGGAGACTAAGCGTTTTTCGCAAAAGTAATTTTAGTAGAGTTGGGGCCCTAAATTCCCCTGATGTCCACCGAAGCTGAAACTTTCAGGAAATATTCTTCTTTATATGATACGTCTGTGCACTTAGCCCAAAATAGCCCAAACGCTTCCCTGCAGCGGGAGGGGTTTTCCAAAAACCCTTGGTTTTCGAGGTAAAATCAAGTCCTCGCAGTTCAGAAACATCAGAACCAAGAACCAATTGCATATTCAAAATCAGCTTAAAAAACTGCGTCGAATGGCGTATAATTCATTGGGTTTTGGACATATACTTTTGAATCTTATCGAATTCTTAGATTTTGGGATCGCCGCGTAGAATTTTTTGCCCGAAAATTTAAAAGTCAAGATTAAAAATCATGAACGCTTCTAAAATATTTTTCTATAGGTTTTCAGCAATGCTCTTTCCAATGGAATGGTTTTTGAATTCTGATAAAGTTTCTGAAGTGGTTTCGGGAGATCGGGTCTCTGGAAAACCCCTTGGGAAGCTTTTTTAAAACTCGAAAACCATTCGGTTGGAAAGAGCGTCGTAGAAAACCTATAGAAAAATGGTTTAGATACGTTTGGACTGCTTTCAAAACTCATATCCACGTGCTTAGTCAAAATTGCCACGGTGTATGGTAAAGTTAAATTTTTCAGCTAATCTTAATTTGCTCATATAGAGTAAAGTGTCTAATTGGAACCGTAGCCAGATTTGTCTGACTTGTGACTCTAGTATCTGAGTGAGTTTTGAAGCGATTTCCACCGAATTTGGGGGCTGTTGTAGCTGAAAGTCTTATCTATTTAATGATCTAAAAATTATTCTGAAATTCCCATCGGGGACGGATCTCAGGAAGATTTACTAAGGAGAGGGTCGTTTTGGTTCCAATTAGGCTCTGTGCCTAATGGGAACCGTACAGCGAAAGGTGTCTAATTGGAACGGTTCCGTTGAAATTACACGGGTTTGCAACGTTTTAGTAAAACCTGTATTTTAAAAGACTTCGTAAGATAAATTAAGAAGTTTTCATTTTGTCATAATCCGGAGAATGAGCCCCGTCGAATGCCACTAATTCGAGATTTGTAGGACCAAAATTGACCAAGTTATACTTACCATACTTTAGTGTATGTAAAACCAAGATGGTTGTTAGGCACTGAGCTTAATTGGAATCGTACAGCAAAATGTGTGTCTAATTGGAGCCATCCCGTTCAAATTACACGAGTTTTCAACGTTTTAGTAAAACCTATTTTCTACAATATTTCATAGGATATTGTAGAAAATATTTCGCACAAATAAATTCACTAACTGCTCTATACATAATGAGCCAATTTCGAAATTTTACTAGAAGTTGACAAAACTTAGATCTGGTTTATTGAAAGTGGATGATTTTAGTATCTTCTTTCTGTACAATGCTCCCAATAAACTATGTAGTAGTACATATGCTTTCATTACTCAGGGACTACAATATTACTAATTGGTCGGAAAATTTTCGAAATTGGCTCATTGTGTACAGAGCAGTTAGTGAATTTATTTGTGCGAAATATTTTCTACAATATCCTATGAAATATTGTAGAAAATAGGTTTTACTAAAACGTTTCAACAATTAGACTCTCTGCGTAAAGCAGCATCATAAAATTGTAGTAAGAAATTACAAATACAAATTTAAACTTAAATTTGTATTTTTAGAACAGTTTTCTTTTTCTTGTGTAGATGGGCAAAAGAGCAGATCTTTTTTATTTTATGATACGCTTTTGTAAAATTTTATTTTTAATCAAGACTTTGATATAAAGACACATGTGATAGATCAATGAATGACTGAAAACTGAAAATTCGAGTGTAGTGTGTGGAATTCCGCGATGTTTTGCTGT